TTTTAGACAGCTGTCCAGGACAGTCAAGCCTTCATACATTATTCCTGATTCCCACCCACGTGCTCTGCCAAAAGTTGAACACTGAAGACAGAAGAGTCAAAGGTTCAAAAACATGACAGGAAAGGAACGCAGAGTTCACTAGCCATCTTCACCAGAGAGTCCATCTATGTGAATACATCCCTCCAAATATCTGTGTTCATTTGTGACGTGTTCACTTTTCAGCCCCCACTCCTATCAGGGAAAGGATAAAGAAGAGGACTAATCAAATGACTTTTGGACAAATCGACTGTTAGGAAACAAAGAAGAAGGGAGCTCCTTGTGACTAACACGCAAAATCCTGCCCAGGTTTTAGTCTAACTCCCTCAGGAAGTGTCTCCTCCTACCTTCTAGGAAGTTCTCTCTTCTCTGACATCAGCTTCCATCTTCTCAGTTTTCTGTTGCTCCACCCACTGCCACTCAGAGCTGCCTAGAGCTTCTCCTGTGAGAGAGGAATCAAACCAGAGTCAAGATATGGGCTTTCTCAGCATCAGAATAAAGGATAAGTGGAGAAGATATGACACTGATCTCCAGAGACTAAATTTTGTAAAAATGTGAGAAAAGCAATGAGAATCCATCACTTGGAAGAAAAACTGAAATGGTAGAGATATTCTTTAAGACTCAGGTGGTTGAAGTCAGTGTCCCCTCCCCAGGAGAAGACTGATTCTCTTTGTCCTGGAAGAAGAAACCTGATCCTGAGGTAAAGAAGGAACTTACAACTCAAGACACCCAGCTCCTCAGTTCACCCTTCTGGTCACAGAGGTAATGAGAGCTCTTCTTGGGCACCAAATCTCCACCTACTAGCACAAGATAGAAAAATATTTACTTCTGGCCAAAAGTCTGAACTGTAGGCTTATCTTTTTGTAATAGGATGGAATGTATAGAAATGGCCCTCAGACCTTGGCCAGTAAGCATAGGAAGAAAAAAGATCGGAGGCCTCAGTGCTATGATACAAGGTAATTAAAGTCCAATGCAAAGTGCATATTTTTCATCGTGTCATTTTCTGTACTGTCTTTCCTCCATCCTGGTCTCTTACCTGATATTCCTGGGCAACCTCTTCCATGAGGAATGTGTGATGACCACTGTGCTCCTGAGACCGCTGACAAAGCCAGAAAATGACCTTCTCATCTTTTTTATGGAAGAGCAGGAGTTTCTCTTCATGGTGCACACAGAGATCTCTCTTCTGCTCCTCCTCTGGGCTCAACTTGACCTCGATGAGCCTCTCCACTACGCTGGCCACGTGCTGATTAGGCCACAGGTTCCTGAGCTGGTAACTGATTCTGTACCCAGAGCACATGCTTTCTCCTTCTTGGTTGATCTTGGAGTCCTTGATGTTTTGGGTTTTACAGACTCAGCAGAAGCTTTGGCTGCAGTCTAGGCTCAGGGGTTCTGTAATGAGCTCCAGGAAGAAAGGGTGGGTCACCTCCTCCTTTATGTTCAGCAGGATTCCTGAAGCCATCACAGCTGTTCGCCCGTCCTACCTATTCTGACTTCTGAGGCTCGACTTGCTCACATATTCCTGCGTAGTTTGGAAGGTAAAAGGGGATCAAGTAAGAAAGGTAGGAATAAAATGATACTCTGGTGTAGAAGTCAAGGACGAGTCAAGACCAAAATATTGAAGGACAAAATGAAAAAGGTGGTGAAACACGGAAAGAAGGTTGGTGACCTGGTAAAAAGGACTTTCACAATAATTTCAAACACTTTATGCCTGGTTCATGTCATATGACAAATCCCATTCTCATCTGTGCAATGAATGATATTTTCCTTTACTTTCTTTGAATGAAACGATGACCTGAGGCTTTTTCTACCACTATCCTTGTGTGACACATCATTCATCCTGCTTTTTCCTTCCCATGCCAAAAGCACATTCTCAGTATTAAAAGCACCAAACCACTTATACTTCTGTGATTTTATATCTGCTGTTCTCTCAGCTGTGATGATATCAGTATGACTCACTCATATACTTCAGTGAACTCCCTCTTTACATGTTCTCTTATCAGAAAGAGCTGCTCTGATTAACTTATTTAGAGCATAACCTTTGCCATCACTTGCTGTATGTTTGTGATAATTTCTCTTATTATCATGACTTAAAATATGAAAAGATGTGTGTGTACATGATAAGAGCAAACCCTTTATCAGATGTGCAAATAGAGATAATAGGTGACTTACAAAGATCATTTACCTTCAACACAGAGTTGGAGTGAACATAATGTTTGCATTCCTCCTTCAAATGTCTGTCTTCTTCTACCCCACAGTTATTCAAAGACAAACTAGTAAATTTCATGGACCCAATTAATACCCAGAGCAATGGGGTGTGTGGAAGTGAAGAGTTTCAGACCAGCTGGGAGGTTCTGGGGAGTCTTGTGTTTGTAAATGGTGAGATTTTAACTTCCTCTGGAAATAGGTCAAGGACGTTGATAGGCCTAAATGTGTGTATGTATGTGGAGGGTTGAGAGGGAGATGGTATGGTTATACTCAGAGGATCACACATGTAAGATACTTTGAATAAGAAAAACACAGATGAAATGAATGTTAGTCTTAAGAAAGAAGTCTCAAAATATTAGGCAAGATTATTCAAGAAATTTTCATCAATGATGAATTGTGCTAGCAACTGGAATAATATCCAAAAACACAAAGATGAGTCTAAACAAAGGTTTAAACCACTATGACCTTGACATTCACTTGGAACGTAATAGTAAATTAAATATTCACCCTTATGTGTACAAAAGAGAAGATGTGAAAAACACAAAAGAGACATACAGGTTGGTGAGAAGTCAAATAATAGCGGCAAATGGAGGAATGATCAAGAATTCCAGCTTGAAAACATAAGGGTTGAACTGAAAGCTGAAAAAGATGAAGGACAGAGGAGATGAGAGAGAGGACAAAATGTGTTAGGTGGAAGAAATGACCTATTCATGGAAGACATATCATCTTGTATGAGTTTTAAATGCCAGTGTGTTTGGTGTGTAGAAAAGTTCTGGGCCTTTGGTATGACATGAGCCTGTAGTGACCATAAAATATGACACTTGCCAAATTATGTAACATTTAGAGACTGTTTTCCAAGAGCAAGAAGAAAGTTTTCCCATCAGAGAAGAGTGGAGACATATTAACTCTGAACTTGGGCTGTGAAATATTATATGGATCCAGAGTGTAATTGGGGAGATCACTTAGGTTGCATGCACAGTTGCTCAGGGGAGAGAAGATGATAGCTTGAGGGACAAGGTGATGAAGGAAATGGAGTTCAGCAGATGAAAGTAAGAGACATATGAGGTAGAAGGACAGGACTGGGTGTTAGATTATATATGTGAGAACAAAGGGTGACTATCAGGCAGTTCTTGCTTTCTGTGAAGTGTTGGCTAACTCTTCTCCTAGTAAGCTTTTTTTTTTTTTTTTTTCACTCTCTGGAAAACCAGCTCTTTACAATAAAGGTGATTTGATAGTAAAAATGGCCTGATGTGTAAAGTGCATTCAGACTGGGAAGACTTGATATAGACCTTAAATGCCAGTTAGTAAGCATAGACCTCACTTATCACAAGTGAAATGTGACTTTTAAAACCAAAATGTGTCTAAAATTTAGGTCCCTGGAAGCTATGCTCATGGGTTTTCACAAAGTAATCAGTTCTTTGTCACCCTAGACTTATCTAACCTATGATAGTTTCACACAAATCCACCTAGTCTGGCTTCTTACAAAAGTGAGATAACAAAAATAAAGTATTTTCTATACCACTGCAAGGTCCCATACTGAGAATTCACCTGAGGCAGCCATGCCAGTGCGCTACGCCTTCTGTCCTATATCCCCCAGCTAAGCTAAGTGAACCTGGCAGTTTATGTCTTATTATGTCATGTGGTTGGAAATGGCCATCCTGATTGCAAACTGCTGCTAGTGGTCAGTCAGAGAGGTATCACAGAGTGGTAGCACAAGGATGCTTATTCTCCAGCCTGGACTCAGTATGGCCCTGTGGCCACTTTCTAGTGTCAGGGTTTCCGTCAGAAGCTATAGGATTATGAAGCTATAAAGAAAGAAAAGAAAGGGGGCTGGCCCAGTGGCATAGCTGTTAAGTGAGTGTGCTCCACTTTAGTGGCCCCGTGTTCGCGGGTTCGGATCCCTGGTGCGCACCTAAGCCGGCTTGCCAAGCCATGCTGTGGCGACATCCCATATAAAGTAGAGGAAGATGAGCACGGATGTTAGCCCAGGGCCAATCTTTCTCAGCAAAAAGAGGAGGATTGGCATCGGATGTTAACTCAGGGCTAATCTTCCACACTAAAAAAAAAAGAAGAAAAGAAAAGAAAAAGGAAAGAAAAGGAAGATCTCAGTAGATGTTAAGGTCTTGATAATCACCAAAGTTTGATGATAAAAGAAAGATCTCTAGCATGAGACAACCAATAAGTTTTCCCTTTCCTCTACATAAGGGAGAGAAAGGCTATAAAGTCTGCATGGGGATAAATTTAGACTTACTAAAAGTCTCTACTTGTGCCATGTTCATCATATACGAAGGGAATCTGATAAAGAATGAGGCTCCAGGTGAACTAGAATTGTAATCTAGCTAATAGTACAGATACTGAAAACAACCCAGAGGCCATATGCAGTTAGTACTGGCTGCAGAGACTGTGGCCCTGATCAGGCTCTGATGAATAGCAAGATCAGAGATAGACATTATACCAAAGTTAGATATTATGTGATAATGACTACTCCTGTTTATAACTCAGGCTGTAACCCAAACATGGAGCAGAGGGACTCCAATTATTTCTCATACTATTCAAGATCCAAACAATGGTGAGATGCAGCAAAAGCCTATAGAGGAGGTTGGAGCAGAGCATGCTTTCAGCCATGGGGTTACAAAATTTATTTTCACAGTGGGGCTACAAGGAGCTAATGTGAAAGCAGCTGCTGCCACAATGGACACTGAAGGGCAATGTGCAGAGAAGCTAGAGTCCTCTCACATGGAGGATGACCCCAGTTCTACCTAAGCAGTGACCCAAGGGCTCCACAGCAATGAGAGAGATACATATGGGAACATGAGTGGTGTCTTCCTGATAGAACTCCCAGGGCAGTTGGTTGCCGTAGGTGTCAGGCGACTGCACCTTACTCATTGGTCTTCTGACATCTGAGCTCATGAGAATACAAACTCAAAGTGTCCCAGAGGTGATAACTAAAGACAAGTAAAAAAGACATTAAAAGACAATAACTATGTCAAAGTCCAAATCATAAGGATATGAACAGAACTTTCTTCTTTTGTGGGTGGAGTAAAACTGTTTCTCTAATCATGATGAAGCCCCAAATTGCTGATATTATCTGGGAAAGAGTCACTTTTCCAAAAAGAATAACTAGAAGAATGGAAAAATGAAATTCTGTTATGTTTTAATTGCCAGGCAGTCATCTAATACTATTTAATATAAACTCCTTATGATACTAGAAAATTAAAAATAGAAGCAGAAAAGTAACAAATCAATTGTAAATTCCTGTGATAATTGGCATGACAGAGGTGCACTGCATGAGTTCAGAAGACAGGTGCCTAACACTGACTTACGAGTGAGAGAGGGACAAGAATATGTAGCAGATGTGATAATCTCCAAAGTCAACTCTTATAAAGTAAGGTTTGTTCACATGAGGAGAAGTCAGGATAAGTAAAAGATTTGACTGGTGTCTTCCATATGCCTGAGTGAGGTGGGTACAGCAATACTTTCTATAGGAGGTGTGAGTAAACACAGAGTCTCCTCTACTCTAACTTCCTTCCCTCATGGGTCTCAGGATCTTGTTATCATACTACTGCTTCTGACATCTTTTTATATCATGAACACCAATCAAGTAACTTATTTTGTTTACTAGAGTTAGAAAAGAAACCATTTCTGGAAATTCTTCCTAGATATTCCTCCTGCTCCTGATCTCTCAGCTGAGCTCTGTTTCTGGGTGTCCATATGGCCCAAGGAGAAATATGGGCAAGTATAGTGACTTTTAAGGAACTGAAGCAATTCTTTGTGTCCAGATGAGTGAATAGGTATAGGCTGCTGAGCTTGCCACCTGTCACCCCACCAAGGCTCTTAAGCACAGACGGGCCAAGGTGATGAGAATTTATTTAGAGAGTAATGCAGAAATACCATGTTGTTACGCTGATAGGCGTTAACCCATTAGGATTCAAAGATTCCTCAGAATTTCTACCTCTGAAAATTCTAGGAGTGTGGTAGTCCTCAGGAAGGTACCATTCAAAACAGTAGAATGGGTGGAAGAAGTGGTAAATTCAGCTTGGAGGAATGACAGTCCCTAAATGAAACACTAAGCTTTTCACTTCTCCAAACCTCTCTTCTTTTAAGTCGAACCCTCCCCCAGACTGCACTTCAGCGAGCACTCTCAGCGGGAACCTGCAAGCTGGGCTTTTTCCTGCCTTCAGAACAGCTTCCTGAAGACTAATTAGCTCACAGAGGCAAATTCAGTTTTTTCCTCCGAAGTCTCCCAAACCCTGCCTTCTACAAACTACTCACCTCACCTTCAGACACCAATAGAGAAGTTGTGATTCCCTGGAGAGAAGTGAAGGCAGCCCAGGGGCAGAGGTGGTCAGGATTCACTCACCAACCCAGGGACCTGATCCTCACAAAGAGATCCAGAAGAGCCTGATCCCCCTTAAATTCTTGGGGAAGGGTGTAAAAGGAGAAGAGAATATATGGACCAATAGGGGGTGTCCACATCTGGCCCCTGGGAAATGACAAGGCTTTTGTGCCTGGGCCAGTAAGCCAGTGCTTATCTCTATCTCGGTTCTAGTCCTGGAAGCTGTTTTACGGTTCTTCAAAGTCATTTGTCCTTTGGAGCACTAGGCTTACCTAGGCAATATAATTTTGCACACACACACCTTGTCTTGTTTCCTTACAAATGAGCTGTCATGAGGAGGGAATAAAGTACTTCCTGTGTCACAGTGAGGACCCACACTGAAGGCTCCTCTGAGGCAGTCATACCAGCACACTCTCTCCTGTTCTGCATCCACCAGGTAAGTGAAGTGAATCTGGCCAGTTTGTGTCCTATTAAGTCGTGTGAGAGGCAATGGCTGTGCAAATCTGAAATTACCTCAGATGGTCAATCAGAGAGGCTATCACAGTAGAAGCACAATGATGCTTCCTTTCAGAACCTGAATTTAATATGGCTAAAATGAGGCTTTTCCTAAATAGACTGGAAAGACGAAACTGCATGAAGTGTCATTTCTTGGGCAATGTCATCTAATACTATAAACTTATAATCTCTATATCTTAGCATAATAAAAATAAAGCAGGAAAATAATCATGATGGTCACTTTTATATGTCTACCTGACTTGCCATAGGGTACACAGATTAAAATATTATTTCTGCATGTGTCTGTGAGGGAGTTGTTTCCAAATAAGATTAGCAGTTAAATCTGTGGACTCAGTCAAGTAGATGGTCCTGCCCAATGTAGGAGGGCATCATCTTTTTTTTGAAGTTTTCAACAGAACAAAAAGTGGAGGAAGAAAGAATTTGCCCCTTTTGCTTCCTGCTTGCCTTTTTGAGCTGGGGCATAGGTCTTCTCCTACCTTTGGACTAGGACTTGTGCCATTGGCTACCTTGGTTCTCAGACCAAGCCTTCAGACTTGGACTGAATTACACCACCAGCTTTTCTGAGTCTTCAGCTTGCAGATGGCAGATCCTGGAATTTCTCAGCCTCCATAATCACTTGAGCCAAGTCCATATATATTTATATCTCATGTTGGTTCTGTTTCTCTTCTGAGCTCTAACACAGTAATGAAACTATTTTAAAATTCTGTGTTAAGTTTCACAGGTGAACTGTGATAATGATGACACAGGTGAACTGTGCTATTTCAAAAGATGTAGGCCTAAGGTGACTTGGGGGAGTTAAGGGCACAAGGGAGATGTCGTAGAGGTGATAAGACCCAAAGTCAATCTTAATCCATAAAATCTGATCAGACAAGGGGAAGTCAGAGTCAAAAAGAAAGAGCTTTGACTGGGATCTACCCTCTGAGTGAGTCAGTCTGGGGTGCAGTGTGCCTTTCACTGGAAGAGAGGGGGTCAAATAAAGAGACACTCCTACGTTAACACCCTTTTCACACGGGTCTCAGGATCTTGTTCTCATGCCACTTCTTCTGATATCTTTTCACATTATTTACACCAATTACACATCTCATTTTGTTTTATTAAAAGTTGTAAAGATGTCCCTTATGGAAATTCTTCCCACGGGTTCCTCTTTCTCCTGGTCTCTCATCTGAGCTCTGTTTCTAGTTGGCATATATGGCTCAAGAAGGAGGAGCAAGATTAGTGACTTTTCAGGAACAGAATTAATACTTGAGTTTGAACTTGGAAATCTGATAGGACTAGTACACACAAAAGAAGCTGCATAGCAGGGCAGATGTTATACCATTAAGGCTCTGAAACCCAGAGAAGACAGGGTGCTAGGATTATGTGGTGTGCCTACAGAAATCCTACGTTATTGTATTGACAGATGTTGAATTCTTAAGCTTCACAGGATTCTCTGACTTTCCCCTTTTTTTTCCTGCAAAGTATCTTTTTCATCCCTGAAGAGGGCCAGGCATAGCTCTCTTCTCTGCTTCTCTCTGTGCAGAAATGGTTCAGAAGCCTGGGCTGTGGCTTCTGGAGACTCCACAGACTCTTTCTCTAGGGCATCCTTTCCTAGGATTTCTCAGGAAGTTCTCACTGGAACTATGATTACTCCTAGAGGTGAGGACTCAGTCAGTATACCCTGAGTTAGGAAACGAAAATATATGAGTAGAAGCCAATAGATAGAACTGCAATGGGGAGCCTGGTGTTCTCATTAGTGATCTCCACCCCCACCCAACATCGCACCCCCAACTGTAAGTTTCATGAAGTCATGTAGAGACTTTCTATAGCTTGTTGCTTAGAGCCTCAGATTTATTAGAAGTTGTTGTATATAAGGAGTGATAAAGAGATAAATATACAGACCTGTCTGATATAGCTGTAAATATTATTTTAAATTAATTGAATATCTGGATGATAAATCATGCTTCTATTCTGCGGTTCTTGCTGTGAACACAATTGCTGTGTTACATAATGAAATTCAGCTATTCTCATGGTCTTATTAACATATATGATTCCCCTTTGACAATATTTAACCAGGAATTTTTCATATCTCCTGTTTTCTTCCTAAGGTTTACTCAGATTGGTCTTTAATCTGTCTCTACTACCACACTTTAACTACATTAACTCTTACTTTGTTTTAAGGTTTTTCAAACGGGAAAATGTTAAAAATCCATGGGCCAAGGTGAGACATTTCATTAGATTACTTTCTAAACAAGAGATGTAATGACTGGAGGCAAACAAAGAGGCCTTTGGATGATTTACTTTTTGCTGTAACTCAGAACACGGTAAGCTAGAATGTGGAGCATGCCAACATGGTCAGCTGTGGCGAAAATTGTGTGGTGAGAGGCGCAAGGTGAATTCAGGTTTCCTGCTGGCCCAAGTTTGAGGTACCTTAACAGGATCTGATTTCGCTCGGCTGCAAACCTAATGCTCTTAGGAAAGTCCCAACATATCAATCAAGTATATGGTGTCAGTTCGGAGATTCAGAGGGAAATGAGTAAAAACGTGGATATTGATCTGTGAAGGATTGGGAAGGGAAAAAGCATTGCATAAAGAAGAGATCTTTGGAGAAGGCAGCTCATTTCTTTTGAACATTGCAATCAACTCTGCTAGTGCTGTGCTTGTCCCACAACAGTTACCCTCTGAGCTCTCCAATCCTGCCCAGTTTCAGTCATACACTATAACTAAAAAGACATCTATTCTGATTATTTCTGCATTAACCAACATACCCCATACCTTCATTGCTGAGTATGAAAAGCAAGTAAAACCGAGTTTCTGTTGTTTCCACTAATGGAGGTATTCACTCTAACAAAGCAACACCCTCATCCATATATCAGCATTATAATCCTTGGACCAATGTAGAAAAAAAGGAAACTAAATATGAAGGCACTAGAGAATGACAAAAGCAGTAGAATCTACAGTGTAATAGACACTGGAAGAAGATAACAGTATTGGAGGAGTTTTCTGGTTCTATGGCTTTTCTTTTGAAGGCAAACCTCAATTGGTAGTGGGTGGGACAGTTAAAACTCACCTAGCAACATACACACTTATTGGCTCAAAGAAAAAAAAGAGTGACTTGGGGCTACCACAGTAGCTGGAAAGTGGTGGAAATTATCTGTAAAAGAGAGGTCCAGAAGAAGAGATCCCAAAATGCACATACGAACTCTGACCAAATCTCTGACTACACATGTGTGAGAGAGAGGCCAAGCAGCCCAAGTAGGGCTAACAGAACTGAACAGAGATTTCAGCTGCTGCAAAATGCAGGGGAGATTAAGAGTTTGAGTTGAACCCAGTTAACTGCCTGAAAAAAAAAATAATGTTCTTCAGAGAAATAAACAGAACCCAGAGTCTCTGCATCTCATTCACAATTCCCCTTGAGGAACTGTGCCTCAAACGAAAAGGCAATCAATGGAAACCAACTCAAAAATAATCCAGATGTAGTGTTTAATAGACAAGGACTTCACAGCAGCTATTATATCTAGGGCGAAAGATGTAAAAGAAAATCTACTTACAATAATGACCAAATAAGAAATGTCAAAAGACAAATAGAAACAGTTTTCTTTTTAATTAAAATGCTAAAACTAAAAACTACAATCACTCAAAAATCAAACCCAGTGTTGGCTTAGGAGAAATTCAGGATCACAAGAGAATGCATAAGTGAATTTAAATGTAGATTAATAAAACCTAGCCAATGCGAAAATAATGAACAGAGCCACAATAATCTGTAAAAAATAAAGCCAAGGTAATAACATAGACTTAAAACACAGAACAACTACTAAAATACAACAATACTAAAGCTATAAATGTAGCGGAATTAAATGAGAAATAAAGGGAAAAAAAATCACATGTTCCCTTAAATATATGCAGAAAAACATCAAACAAAATCCAATACCCATTCATGATAATGATAAATGAGGAATATTAATCTGATAAAAGGAAATAAGCAAAATCCTATTGTTAACAACATATTTAATGGTCAAATATTGAATACGTTCCATCTGTGATTGGAAACGTCAACAACTCATCATTCATATTCATAATTGAACTATATTTCTTTGCCCAAAAACTAAGACAAGAAAAACAGACAAAAGCGTAAAAAGCAAAGTAGAAGAAATAAAAGAGTCTCTGTTTGTAGATGACATAACAACTTATGTAGAAAATCAAAATAAATCCAAAGGAACCTACTAGAATTAGTAGCTGAATTAAGCAAGGTCATAAGACTAGCTTACCTCAAGCCAATTACCTCAAGGCCAATATTGAAAATCAATTATATTTTATAATCTAGCAGTGAATAATTATAAAATTAAATTTAAATAATCCTTTACAATAATGTCTCCAGATAAAGCACCCTGAGGATAGAAACAATAGCTCACTTCCCACCCCTGGGTGACTAAATGACTCATCTGGTCTGGGAGGGTTCATAGCCCTGGGAGGCATGGTAGAGTTGCTATAGGTATGAGTCAAAAGACAGATCTGGGTTAGGGCAATATGGAAGGACCAGGAGTCAGAATCAATAGATTCCCCCATCATCATCTGTGGGCAAAATGGATGATTATTAGAATCCCATATCATTGGGTGTAGATTGTGTGATTCTATTCCAATATCAGTTTAGAAATGTCTGGTCACCAACTAGTGATGGCTGTAGATACCACTGCCTACTCATTGTTCGTGGATGAAACTGCATGATGAAGCCTGCTTATTCTTTGTGATTTCCATGAACTTCTCCCCTAATTTTTCATTGTGGACACCCGTCACCAAAATTCATGGCCCTGTACAATCCTAAAGTCTCAGAAATAGAAGATGTGATAATTGCCACTAAGGGAAATGGATAATGAGAGAACCTACACTTGATGCCCAATGAACTTTTTTATTTTAAGTCCAGAATTTCTTCTCAGGACATTTCCTGAGGAAAACCTACCTACAGGCTTCATACTCTTATGAAGAAAGGGTTTCATTTTGGAGCAGTAGAAGCTGTTGAAAAAAGGATGTCTCAATCTTTTCCTTTGTGTTTGCTAACTCAGATATATTTACCATTAACTTGTTTCACATCTTAAAGTAGTTTCCTTAGATTTATGGTCTCAGTCATTGTAACAATAGGGTGACAGGAAAGCAGAGGTCAAAAGGAATATGGATAAGAATCAATTTCCACCAGTGCCCATGGATGAGAGTTTGAGGAGTGTGTGTATGGAGAGAGACTGGATGTATCTAATCTAGAATGGAGAACTGAAGAATTTCTTGAGAGAGAAACAGAGCAGACACTGTTTTTCCCAGTAGCCCATTATTTGTATTTCTCTCAGCTCACAACTAGGTGGGGAAAGAGTTGGAAAAGAAAATGCCAAAAGACAGAGGGACACCCCCATGTGCTGCAGGAATACTCAGTGCTGCAGCATTTGCCCTGCTATCTCACTGGAGGAGGAGAACAGGCTTTACTTTCCTGCTGAGGACTACTGTAGACTTTCAGCTCACAGGAAAGAGTGAAGCTGACCAGGAAAAGGAGATGTTGACCTACGGCGTTGGTGAGGGAGCCTGTGACCAAAGTCCTAACCCTTATTCTTTCACTGTAAGTCATAATGGGAAACAGCACCCCGAAGAATGGAGATTGATCAGGGCAAACAAAGAAAAGGTTTTCCATCGAGAGAATTACTGTGGAAATAGAAAAGAGTGTCAAATCAACTTCTACCTACTCTATTCATTTACATTAAAGATTCTCTTCCAGTAATTAAAACAAAAAGGACCAAGTAGCTTTGAGGAAGATAAAACCGTCTTTTACAATGTAGAAATATTTACCATGTGCACAATACAGTAATGTTACTTATAGTCATGTGCCACATGACGGTTCAGTCAAGGATGAACCACATATGCAAGGTGGTCCCATAAAATTAGTACCATATAGCCTGGGTGTGTAGTAGGCTATACCATCTAGGTTTGTGTGAGTACACTCTATGACGTTCGTACAAAGATGAAATCACCTAATGATGCATTTTGCAGAACATATCCTTCTCCTTAAGAGATGCGTGTCTGTATAGGCAAAATGTTGTACAGTAGATCTCTAGAATTTCTTTGTCTTGCATAAACTGAAACTTTACAC